ATGAGTTAGAGACTGTATGAATGAATGAATGAGTGCATGAATGAATGAGTGACTACATAAATGAGTGACTGCATGAATGAATGAGTAACTGTATGGCTGAATGAATGAGTGACTGCATGAATGAGTTAGAGACTGTATGAACGAATGAGTGAGTAACTGACTGACTGCATGAATGAGTGAGGGGGTGAGTGAGTGAGTGAGTAAGCCCCTGGACCCTTCTTTAATCCTTCTTGTTTTCCAGGAGGCCAACAGCAGAGGAGACTCTAGAGCATCCATGGTTCAAAGTGAGTCCCTCGCAAAAGTAGGGGGTACAAGGATGGGGGTGGAGGAGAATTTATTCACAGCTTGGTGGGATTGAGTATGGGGGGCGGGCAGGGGCGGGCCCTCACACCTGTGACCTATAAACTCTGCGAGATCGCTCTGCAGAGGCCGTATCCTGGCCATCTGGTTGAGAAGGAAGCTGAGGCTCTCATCCGTGATTGAGTTGGGGTGTCATGGCCTGTAAAGGACAGGGTCTGGACAGGAACCCTGCCCCAGGCTTCATTCTGGGGATTCTCATTAGGTTTCCCCCACTTACTATTCTCCAAACCAGCCCTGGAGCTCCTGAGTCCTGTGCGCCCACCTCAGCCCTGCCCTGGCCCCCTGGCACTGTGGTTGTTGGGCTGGGTGTGAGCACCTCACGTTGGCAGGGTGCTCATCTGCACACCCCAGGCACCCTGGGGCCCCAGGAGTTCAGGGACTGCACAGCCTGTCCACTGAGCCTTGTGCTCAGTCAGCTGAAGGGTGAGGCTTTGATGGCTCAGGTCCTTGAAGTCAGAGCCCCCTATCATTCCAAAAGAGTGTCTGAGTGGCACCTGAGGGAAGTCTGTGGCCTGCTCTGGACCACCGATGGCTCTGGGGCTCTGGTCCTAGGAGACAGGCTAGGAGCCTACCCGATGTGCCTGACACCCCTGCATCAGATCCCAGGCCCCTGGGAGCCCAGACCCTGGAGTTCTGCCGCAAGCTCCCTGTGGGGTGTCAGAAGGCAGCCCCCCAAGCTTCTGCCTAAGGTTCTGGGGAATTTAGAGTTGTCATGACAGACCCAGGGCAGAGGACCCCCTGGAGCACAGATTGGGCACTGCTCTCTGTCCACTGCCACCCTGGAGGTATTGAGGGGCCCTCTTCCCCCGGTTCACAGGCCCAGGCCCAGGGTGCGGAGGTTAGTACAGACCACCTGAAGCTGTTCCTCTCCCGGCGTAGGTGGCAGGTGAGTTGTACGTAGGCCCTGCATCTGCCCCTTGCACCCTTCCCTGGGTCTCCCTAACTTTGCCTTCGTGTGTCCCCATCTCCTGCACATCTAGCCTTCCACCCCATTTTTATTTCCTCAGTTCCCAGCTCCCCCACTATTCTCTTAGACCTTTTCCCCAGGGGCTAGGTCTGAATCAGGGTGTCCTTGGGTGGGTCAGTTCTGCCCTGGGGTGTCCTAGGCCTGACTCTAGTGCTTTGTCTCCAGCGCTCCCAGATCAGCTACAAGTGCCACCTGGTACTGCGCTCCATCCCCGAGCTGCTGCGGGCACCCCCGGAGAGGGTGTGGGTGGCTGTGCCCAGACGCTCGCCCCCCAGTGGGGGGCTCTCCTCCTCTTCAGACTCAGAGGAGGAAGAGCTGGAGGAACTGCCCTCGGTGCCCCGACCGTTACAGCCTGAGTTCTCTGGCTCCCGGGTGTCCCTCACCGACATTCCCACTGAGGATGAAGCCCTGGTGACCCCAGAGGCAGGGGCTGGGGCCCCCATGGACTGGCAGGAGCATGGAAAGGTCCCCTCTGAGGACCAGGAGACCTCCAGCCCCCAGGCCCTCCCCTCCCCAGGCCAGGAGTCCCCTGCTGGGCCCATCCCCCGGCGGGGCGAGCTCCGTAGGGGCAGCTCAGCTGAGAGTGCCCTGCCCCAGGCCTGGCCGCGGGAACCGGGCCGGGGCCTGCACAAGGCGGCGTCTGTGGAGCTGCCGCAGCGCCGGAGCCCCAGCCCGGGGGCCACGCGCCTGGCCCGGGGCGGCCTGGGAGAGGGCGAGTATGCCCAGAGGCTGCAGGCCCTGCGCCAGCGGCTACTTCGGGGAGGCCCCGAGGACGGCAAGGTCAGCGGCCTCAGGGGCCCCCTGTTAGAGAGCTTGGGAGGCCGAGCCCGGGACCCCAGGTTGGCGCGGGCGGCTTCCAGCGAGGCGGCACCCCAGCACCAGCCTCCGCCTGAGGCCCGGGGCCTACAGAAGAGCAGCAGCTTCTCGCAGGGGGAGTCGGAGCCCCGGGGCCGGCATCGCCGCGCAGGGGCGCCCCTGGAGATCCCTGTGGCCCGTCTCGGGGCTCGGAAACTGCAGGAGTCGCCCTCCTTGTCGGCCCTCAGCGAGGCCCAGCCACCCAGTCCAGCGGGGTCTGGGGCCTCCAAGCCCAGTGTCCCCAAACCTGCAGAACCCCCTGCTACCAAGCCCGGAGATGTCCAGACGTCCTCGGCACCCCAGCCCGTCCAAGACAAGGTCCCAGGGCCAGACCCGGAGCCAGTCCGGGTGGCCCAGCCTGCGCAGCCCCTTGCGGCTCCCAAGAGCCCTGCGCCGCCGCCCACGCCTTATGCCCACATCATGCAGTCGCTCCAGGTGCCCGGCCACGCCCCAGCGCCCCCCCAGGAGGCCCAACCCCACGCGGCCGTGTTTGCCAGGGTGGCCTCCCCACCCCCCGGGATCCCCGAGAAGCGGGTGCCAACAGTCAGGGTGACCCCAGGGGTAGCCGAGAAAGTCCGGGTGCCCACGGTGCCCCCAAGACCGGGCAGCAGCCTGAGCACCAGCGTCCAGAACCTGGAGTCAGAGGCCGTGTTCGAGGCCAAGTTCAAGCGGAGCCGCGAGTCGCCCCTGTCGCGAGGGTTGAAGCTGCTGAGTCGCTCGCGCTCCGAGGAGCGCGGTCCCTTCCGCGGGGCCGAGGAAGACGACGGCATATACCGGCCCAGCCCGGCTGGGACCCCGCTTGAGCTGGTGCGACGGCCAGAGCGCTCGCGCTCGGTGCAGGACCTCAGGGCTGCCGGGGAGCCCGGCCTGGTCCGCCGCCTCTCGCTGTCGCTGTCCCAGCGGCTGCGGCGGACCCCGCCCGCGCAGCGCCACCCGGCCTGGGAGAGCCGCGGCGGCGACGGGGAGAGCTCGGAGGGCGGCAGCTCGGCGCGGGGCTCCCCGGTGCTGGCGGTGCGCCGGCGGCTCAGCTCCACGCTGGAGCGGCTGTCGAGCAGGCTGCAGCGCAGCGGTAGCAGCGAGGACACGGGCGGCGGATCGGGCCGCAGCACGCCGCTCTTCGGCCGGCTGCGCAGGGCCACGTCGGAGGGCGAGAGTCTGCGGCGCCTGGGCATCCCGCACAACCAGCTGGCTGCGCAGACCGGCGCCACCACGCCATCAGCGGAGTCCCTGGGCTCCGAGGCCAGCGCCGCCTCAGGCTCCTCCGGTGAGGAATATGGATGGAGGGAGAAGAGGGTGCAGAGGCCGGAGAAGGGAGGGGGCGTGGGGGTGGGAAAGAGTAGAGAGCATCGAGGCCTTGGAGCCTTGCAGATAGATGTGAGGGGCTGCAGGGGCCAGGCTGGTGGGGATGGGAGTGGTGGTGGGGAGGGGGCAGGGCTTCCTGGTACTGAGCAGGCATGTGCTCCTGGGCCTGGGTCTTCGCAGCTTCAGGGGAAGGCCGGAGCCGGCTCCGCTGGGGCCTGCCTCGGCTGCGGAAAGACAAGGGGCAGTCCCAGCCCAACCTCTCTGCCAGCGTCCAGGAGGACTTGGGTCAGCAGTACGTGCGCAGTGACTCAGGTAATGGGGCCCTGCAGGGTGAGGGCCCTACC